AAACAACACAGCACCACAAGAAGCCAGCAGATTCCCAGCCCCCGCAGAGCGCAGAGCGGCGGCTCCAGGCAGCGTGGTGCACGAAGTTGGGGTGCTGCGGACTGCAGTGAGGCTGCTGTGTGTGACTGCAGCATGAGCCTGCTGGAGGACACAGCCAGGCCCTTTCTGGAGGGGTGGGGAGATGACTGGAGGGCAGGGAAGAGTGGTGGTCGGCTCCCAGCCACAGAAATTCCAGGTGAGAGCTAGGGTTTTGTACAGGTTCCATTGCCCTTCCCCTAATTTATTCCTATGAACTGATCAACTTTCCCATGTCACAGTGATCTTTCACTGTGCCAAGCTGCTAGCGAGAGTTGCAGCACTTCATTCAGTGACCCTCTCAGACAAAGGGACAGGGCAGGTGGGTAGACTGAGGTCAGATTCACACATCTGCCCCCCTCTTTTTTTTTTTTTTTTGCTGCCAAAGAGGAGCTGTGACAACATGGAGAAATGGAAGCCAAGTAAGGGTGGGGTGGTGAAAAGGGATGGGGCTCCATGCTTTCTTTTGATTGAGGGGAAAAATTGTGGCTGAGTATGGTTATATGTATTTACTATTTACTGCACAAATTCTTTGTTCCTAAGCACTTTCCAAAAACAAGGTGAAGCCCACTCATGCCTGTAAGCCCAACACCCGGGGAGGCTGAGGCAGAAGGATCACAAGTTCCAGTCTACCTTGGGCAACTTAGTAAGACTGTCTCAAAATAAAACATTTTAAAAAGGATTGGGGAATGTAGCTCAAATAGTGAAGGCCCTGGTCGCAATGCCCAGCACCTCAAAATCAAAACCAAATAACAGAAAAAACACAAAGCTGAAAGGGCTGCAGGTAAAAAGCCTGTGGCTACTGTACTCAGGATCACTTCTCTTATTGAATCCCTCCACCCCCTTTGAGGGTCTTGCTATGTAGCCCAGGTTGGCTTTAAACTTGCGGCGATCCTCCTGCCTCAGCCTTCTGGGTGCTGGGATTACAGGTGTGCGTCACCACGCCAGTTCTACTCTGGCACCCTGAACCCCGGTTCTTCTTCATACTCGCCAGATGCATCCTCACCAAGGTCTTCTGTGGACAACCTAACCGGCCTCACACCTGGAGCCTTGTCTCCTTTCCTGGCTTTCCTTTCCTTGCAGCTTTCACCTCCTTTATCTCCCTTAGTCTGTCTCCTCCCCAAAGGAGAAGCTCCCCTGGTGATGCAGGCTGGCTGGTCTACAGGTGCGGCAACGATACATAGTAGGTACTTGAGAAACTGTTGCTGCTCTCTGCTCCCTGTACCTTGGCTTTTATACATGGATGGGTGGGCAGAGCCACTGGGAAGAGAAGCCATAAAGCAAAGCGCTGGCCCAATACAGCAAGCAGTAAGGAGGGGGGTGTGAGACGCAAAAGTGATGTGGGGGGGGATGACGAAGAGCAAGGTGGAAAATGATACTCCTGACTACATAACAGGACTGCAGATCTGTGCCAAAAAGGGAAAAAACCCCAACAAACAAACACAAAAAGATAAACAAGCAAGCAAACAGATCAGAGAGGGGAACCTGGAATGACCAGGAACTCTAGCCTCAACTCACATGCTACACTTGGCTGCAGCCACTGCCGTATGCCTCGCATGTCCCTCCCCGCAATGCCATCTGCTGTCGGCCAAGGGAGTGGACAGTGGGCCTGAGATGATGAAGAGACCAGGAGGGAAGGGCTCAAGGAGCGGTGGGACTGAGGAGTCTAGGCAAGGGCCACTAGGCAAGGGACAGGCCTGAAGCAAGATCAGGAGAACCTCAGTAGTAGATGTGGAAAGAGGGGACCCAGAGGGACAGCAGGAAGAAGAGGCGGTAGGGGGAGGCAAGTCACTTCTGTTCCTCATGTGCATCTGAGCTCTTGGAATTCTGTCGTTTAAAATTTAAATCTGTGATAGCTAGGCATGGTGGCACACACCTGTAATCCCAGCAGTCAGGAGCCTGAGGCAGGAGGATTATTGTGAATTTGAGGCCAGCCTGGGTTACAAGGTAAGTTCAAGGCCAGCCTGAACTACATAGAGAGACCCTGTCTCAAAAAACTAATAAAATTTGTGCTTTTATTATTCTAGTATTCTCTTTCCCAAAGACTTTTCCTATATATACATTCAAAGCTTAGACTGTAACTTAATTGGTGAGTGTTCTGTAAGACCAAACATTTAAGACCAAACATGTCTACGAAATTTTAACTTAAACAAGTGCTGTCTTGCAATATCAGTATGTCACACCAAATGTCACATGATCACAACTGATTTTCTCTTTTTTTTCTTTGTTTTTTTGGTGGCAGAACCGGGAATTGAACTCAGACCCTTGTGCTTGCCAGGCGTTTATTGTACTGAACTATCTCCCCAGCCCCCTAGATTTTCTGTTTCTTGCTACTTTTATATGCAAGTGTTTTTTATGATGAGCTGGACAAATTATTTTACAAGCCAACGTGCATGTGTATGAATAAGGAGTATGAATTAATTTGGAAGAATTATTCAATGATTTAGAAAATTTTGCAGATGCAGGGGCTGGGGATTCCATCTCCAGCCTGCTGTGCTGGCCCCACCCCTGGGGGTGGACTGAGACAGCGATTGAAGGATTTTTTTTTTTTTTTTTTGCTGGCTCAGGTTGTCATAATGGTGGGTCTGGTAAGGCAGGTGGAGCTGGGGATGGAACTGTGGTCTCCTGTGCCTGACTGGTTTTGCCAGAGCAGGCGCTCAAACAACTGAGCTAACCCGCAAGCCCTGAGACAGCAATTGAGACTGGGTATGATGGCGCATGCCTGTAATCCCAGCTTGTGGGAGGCTGAGCACAGGTGGATCACAAGTCTAATCTACATAGTGCGAGACTCTGTAGACCCTGTCCTAAAACAGAAAGAAAAATAAACTAAAAAAAATTTAATTATTCAGTCATGTTTAGAAGGGTTACATTAAGGAATCTTCCCCTTGAATTTGGTAACAACAACAAAAGAAAACATCACTGTCTGAAATTCAATCTGTCAAAAACAAAAACAAGGAGCTGGGGAGATGGCTCAGTGGAATAAGCGCTTCCCTGGCAAGCGCAAGGGCCTGAGTTCAATCCCCTGTTCCGCAAAAAAAAAAAAAAAAGAAAAAGAAAAAAAAAATCCGATAGACTAGATGTGGTGATGCACGCCTGTAATCTCAGCACTCAGAGGCTGAGCAGGAGGACTGTCATGAGTTTGAGGCCAGCCTGGGCTACAAAGTGAGTTCAAGGCCAGCCTGAACTGCATAGAAAGATCCTGTCTCAAAACAAGAACAAAACAACAACAACAACAAAACCAGAACAAAACATAAAATCAATCCAATAAAGAACAGATGTCTTTAGCCCTTTGCCAAATAGTTCAGATTAACAGGCAATCTATAAATGCCTGAGAGATGCTCGGAAGGTGACCAGTCGGGGAATGTCCTCAGAACGATGCTGCAATGCACAGACAATGCTAAGTTCAGCTGACCATTTAACACGTGTAGTCTGTTAGTCTGCAACGAGCTGTGTGCAGGCTGAGAGAAGGCCAAGAAGCAAGCATTTTTAGGCATCGCTGGTTGGCCCAAAGGAGATCCTTACCTGATTTGAAAGCTCCAATCCTGATTTTCTAGACATTCTTGACTTGGGAGAACAGAAACTATACTGTTAACAGTAGCTGAATGGAAATATTCTTTAGACGGGGCCTACGTGCCTTGCTCTAAGGCTTTGCTCAGTAAGGTAACTGGCCGCAACCATATGCAAGGTCACTTCTTTGCCCCCGCACCCACCCATGAAGCTTCTGAGCTAAAAACCATGTGGGTAGATCTGGCCAGAGAAATACCCTGTTGTTAACTGGCAAATGGGCAAGTCTGTATGTGGATCCTGTGGTCACTTGAGTTGTTGGAAACTGTCGTGGGTCTCCTGGGTATGGATACCCTGGCTAGCAGGGATAAGGTCCTGTGTCAAGTTTCCCACACAGTCCCACAAAGCTGAGGACCATTCAAGGAGCTGTGAATTAGCCTTGCTAAAATGGGCACACCAGAGGGCTCCCCTAAAGCAGCCAGCCACATCATCATTTTTAGCTGCAATCTAAATGTGGTGGGCAAATGTACCAATAAAGCGAAGCCCATAGCACTATGCCTGGAACTGTTCAGAAGTCCTGGCCTCAGCCACAGCATGTCGCACACTGTCCACTTGCAGCCAGTGCCACTCTACTGTCTCAGTGTTCATGCTTCTAAAGGAACAGAGAATTGAATTCAGGGCAGAGACTCTCAGAGAGGCTGTGGATCTTGTCTCCCAAGAACCAGAGCAACTCTACGAACAGTCGCAGAAGAAGCAAAGGAAAACGGCCCCAGAGGACAAATGCGGCTTGCTCTCTTCTGGAAGGGCTTATGCTTCTCTGGAAGATTCAACCAGCATGGTTGGGCTGGGCTGGGCCTGGGGCTCCATGCTTCCACGCTAGTTTTCTATCTCCATACCAGAGCACTAGATTCAGACCTACAGTTTCTTCCAGCCAGGATAATTCTATTCCATTTTGTATGTTTTGGTAACTACTTCCTATCCATTTCCTCAACCATATCCCAAATTCAGATGCCTTTTTGGCAGCCAGACAGGACTAGCTCGGGCTGCACTTCATTATCACAGGAAGAGTAGCAGCATCAGCACGAAAGAGCATCAAGATATGTGGCCTAGGGGAGGCCAACCTCTCAAGTCAAGGTATTGCAAGGTCAATACATCAAATTCCACCAGTCATGTTAGCATTTACTTCCATCAAGAGGCACCCTTCTCTGAACCCTACAGCTGGCTTTTTCCTTTTAACTGTCCAGGCTCTGAGCTGGATGTAGGGTGGCTGAATAGACGCACCAGGAGGTCAGCCTCAAGACCCAAGGGAGCAGCATCCTAAAGCCTCCCTCAGAGCCAGCCGTACTGCCAGCACCAAGGAGGCAGCGGGGCTGCCTGATGGAAGACACAGGCATGACTCTCGCTGCTGGTCCCTCCATGCCTTCCTCATGTCCTTGGAGCCACGTCTATGGCAGGACAACAATCTTCTTCTCCAGCTTCTGTTGAGGGAACAGGAAGTTTCTCATGATCTCATCCAGCTCCTCCAGGGCTAGCTGAGCATGGAGCTTGGCCACATCGTCGGGCTCCCGCTGCACCACATGCTTCAGCAGGTGGTAGAGATCCTTGAGGACATCTCTCAGCACCTGTACAAGAAGGACAGGGTCATGATCATCGATCTGTACACAGAGGAAATCCGGTGGTTCCCTTAAGGTAATGCAGGGGCCAGGGAGATAGCTCAGTGGTCTAAGCGCCTGCCTGGAAAGTGCAACGACCTGGGTTTGATCCCTGGTACTGCATGCAATGCCCTGGTGTGCCATGCTGGCTGGGAACTAGGCATGTTGGTGTATGCCTATAATCGCAGCGCTGGGGAGGCTCAGACAGGAGGATCACTACAAGTCTGAACTGTGTAACAACTCTTTATCAAATAAATAAATAAATAAATAAATAAAATAAGGTGGTACTGCAGGATCCTCTTGGGTTGGAGAGGAGGGTGGGGTGGCTATAGCACTTGTTCTGACAAGTTTTTTTTTTTTTGCTTTTATTTTTATTTTTTTTGATAACAATAAAATTCTTCATAGGAAAATTTGCATGGGTTTAGGTACACAATTTCTGTACAAGTATAGGCAGACATCATCAGATTTGTACTATCACATACATATGTTATCTTTATGTAGTATTTCAAAGCTTGTAGACCAAAAATGTTATTTTTTTTTCAATAATACACTGCATACATTCTTCCCAGTGGTTAATTGCTGTACAAGATGCAGACCTGTGATCCTACTTACAAACACCATTAGAACAAATCATTCTATTCATTAAGAGAATGCAACTATATATCTATCCCAACCACTTTGAATACACAGATACAAAATGGACATTCATAGTTATATCCCAATTTTTTTAAGTTCTTTGTTGAATATTATAGGTGTGTAAACTCAGCAAAATATTCCAAAAGAGTCCAGTAGCCCATAATAGCATTGGGTCCTCTGTTTAACTGGCAATGTCAGAAATTATTGACCTGAGTCCCCCACAGCTCAACCTAAGAACATCGCTTTACTTCCTATATTTCGTCTTCATACTTTTCTACTGGATGGTTAAGACCAAGGTAAAGCAGGACCTGTGCAACAAGAGTTGTAGCTTTTTGGTCTGAGAAGGTCAGTGAAATGCCCTCAGGATTTATCCTGAGATCCTGTACCTCAGATTGTAGAACCTTTGTCAGTGTCAGCCATGTGGATGAGTCACGGCCATTGCTTGGCCAATGTGCTCTCTGTGAAAGCCTGAGAGAGTGTCTTCTCCCCATGTGACTCTCCTTAGGCACACTCTACATCATCGATCACTTTCCTCTTTGGCCCCATAATCTTCTTGATCAGAAAATTTGGGACACTACCGAGGTACATGACGTCACAGTACAAGTTCTCATATGTCCTGAGTCTTAATTGGCCTTAGAAGGCTAGGGCCAAAATGTTGGCTTTCCTTGTAACCCTCCTTTTTCTCTAATTTTGGTTTGCAAACTTAGGTTGTTAACCATCCAGAAGACAAGCTTACTGTTATTATCAAACGATTTAGGCTATCAAGCTTAACCTCACTATCTCACTGCATCTCAAACATCCTAGGCATAATAAGGAACAGGTATTTTTCATCAAGTATTGATATGTTGAACTTTAAGTCCCTACATAATATGATAAAAAAACATTTAAAAATTAGATTATATTTTACAAATACGATAAAGAATTCTATGCTTCTCATGTTTGCACATAAGTCCAAAAATCTCACCATATACAACCTTGAAGCACAACTAATGTTCTGATGTCATAGTCTGACATGGAATTGGGAGGGTACTCAAAGCACCTACTTCCCATATTTCTTACTTCACTTTGAAATCCTTTTTGCTAGCTAGAACTTCCAGGAAGGAACAGGTGCTGTAGTTTACACCTAGATGTCTTCCCACCTTTCGTGCAATTACAGGCAGTTTGGGGGGAGGTGATTTGGATCACGGGCATGATCTGCTGATGGGCTTAGAGCTAAATGGCAGTCAGGAGGTGGGCCCAAGCCAGGAGACTGGCTCACTGGGGAGCCCTGCTCTCTGCTTCCTGGCTGCCTGAGCACAGGGCTTTCCTGCACTGCGCCCCTTTGCTGTGCTGTTTCTTTGGGGCCAGCTAACCACGGGCTGACGTGTGAGCCAAAATAAACTTTTCTAAGGTGTGGGTGTCAGGGATTATGTCTGAGAAACGAGGAAAGTGATGAAGACAAAACATTTCAGAGAAAGGGAAACTCAGACTTCGGAATCATCTGGTCAAAGTAGGGACAGAAGATAAATGGGCTACCCTGGGCACTGTGACTTGCTTTCAGCTAGTTGAGAACTTACTTGTAGTCTATAGCTTCTTGCTTCAACAACCACAAGATTATTAGCTCCAATTTACAAACAAGACTGAGGATTGGCAGGTTAAGTTTACTTAGTTAAAAACTGGTGAGGGCTAGGGACGCCCTTGGCTAGCACACGTGAGGCCCTGGGTTTGACCCTAAGGACCATAAACAAGAACTACAGCAGTAGCAGCAGCAGCAACAGCAGCAGCAACAACAATAACAAAA